GGTTGGGAAGTTAGAGGGATCTGATATGTTTCCTGAGTCTGATCGGGGAAAATGCCTGCTGTGCCCCACAGTGAAAGATCGCTACGGGGACCGGGACGGCGGCGCCGGCTCCAGCTCCGAGTCTGACTCCAGCGACGATCGTGTGGTGCGAATCCCGTCCTGGGCCTGCACGTGCCCAGGAGTCCAAGCTTCCCACTCATCCCCAGCCCTGATGAGGGGGGGTCTCTTGACCACCAAACCCTCAGTGCCCCAAACTCCAAGCCCTGCCCCCGACCCTGTAACGCCCTAATTCTCATTGAACCGTAATCCCAATCGCCGCCGGCCCACCTGTCCCGGTTGCACGCCGTCCCCGTCATCTGTTCCCATCCAGACAGTTCTCACCTCCCTTCTGAAGTCTGTCCCACCTCTTTCCTGCTCTAGGAATTTGACCCCCAACAGGACCGCGACTTTTACAGGACACTCTCCTTGTTGAAGAAGAAGGACCCCCGCATTTATCAGAAAGATGCCACCTTCTATCAGAGAACAGGTGTGGTGGGAGGTGCCTGCCCCCTCCTTACCAGTTTATTACGGAAGTGCTCATTAGCAGGCTGGGCGTGGTGGTGCTCATCTGTAAACCAAGCACTCTGAAGCAGGAGGATCCCTACAAGTTCAAGGCCAGCCTGGGGTACATAGTGAGACCCTGTCTCCAAAAACAAAAAGAAAAAAACATGTGCTTAAGAGGCCTGACGGGGCGATGCACACTTGTGATCTGTGCTCCTCCAGAGGCTGAGACAGGAGGATCTCAAGTTCAGGGTCAGCCCAGGCAGTTTAGCAATATTCCACCTTAGAATAAAACTCTAAGGGCTGGGAATGTAGCTCAGGTGCTGCCTGAAGCCTAAATTTCAGGCTGAAGGATCCCAGCAGCTGCTGCCTGTCCCCCTCACCCCACCCCATCTTTCGTCACAGAAGTCGTAGATGGGATTTGGGTCCTATGCCTGGCCCTGCCTCTGTGAGTCTCTCCTGGGGGGAGGTTGTGGGTGATGGTAGGTGTGTCCTTAGGGTCCACAGAGTCACCCTTATCCTCGGAGAGTGAGGAGAAGCCTGCAGCCTCAGAGAAGAAGCAAGTGCGGCCCATGTACTTGAAAGACTACGAGAGGAAGGTCATCTTGGAGAAGGGCGGGTAAGGAAAAGCCTTCCCAGCACCTTGGGGCTCTCAGGAGTAGACGTAGAAGAAGCCCTTGGAATCAGACGGACCCCTGGCAGCAGGAGTGACCCCATACACATTCCCATGGGTGCCTCCAGATGCCTGTAATAGCGTCCCCTGCGTGGGACAGGAAGCCATGGAGAATATACAGTTACCTGCTGAGAACCCCAGTGTACACTGGACATGTTCATTTGGGACTGATAAACCCGTTCTAAAGTCAAGCTATTTTGAATTGAGCTATTGTGAGTCGGGAGCTGGGTTCTAAAGCCCCCGTCCTTCTCTGTGCAGCAAGTACGTCGATGAGGAGAACTCAGATGGGGAGAACTCTGATCAGAGACTCCAGGTGGGTGGGCCGGAGGCTGGGTGGGGGGCTCCAGGGTCCTGGGGTGGCCTAAGGCCTGTGTCATTCCCTCATCTGCAGCAGATCTCATCACAGAGTTACATGGAGGAACAGAAACAGCTCAGAGAGAGGTGAGCCTGGGCTGGGGGTGAGCAGCTGCCACACTGTCACTTGCTTCCTGTGTGCCTCGGATTCCTTGTCTGTTAAATGGGATTATTGATCACAGCACAGCTCAGCTGGGTGTGGTGGTGCATACCTGTGACCTAGCACTTTGGGAGGCTGAGACAGGAGGGTCGTGAGTTCAAGTCTCAACTGGGCAACTTAGTGAAACTCTGCCTTAAAATACAAAGGGCTGGGGTGTTGCATATCGAGACATCCCCAGTACCACACACACACACACACACACACACACACACACACACACACAAACACACACGCGCACACAAAGGCAGATAATGTCACAGCACTGCTCCAAGCTCGCTGTGAGGAGCTCAATAGTTAATTTGGGGGCCGCCAGCAGGGCCAGCCTGTGGGTCCTGAGGTTTCTTCCTGTAACGGCAGCTTCCGGCCGTTTGTGGAGGACAGTGAGGACGAGGACAGTGCTGGAGAAGGCGGCTCGGGCTTGCTGCAGAAGCGCAGGAAGACCCGGGAGGAGAAGGTGGGCGCCTGGCCAGGCGGGACCTTGGGCCGGCATGCCGGGCGTCTGGGCTCCCACAGACCTGAGCACCAGCCTTCCGCCTTCCCCAGGCCCAGGAGGACGCTGACTACGTGGAGTGGCTGAAGGGACAGAAGGAGACTCAGAACCCCGAGGCCCTGAAGGAACTGGTGAGTTCTCCCAGAGGCCCTGATGTCCCCCTCAGCGCTTGTTCTCTTTCTGTCTGGCCTTTTCCCAGAAAGTGAGCCCTAGGAGGGAAGCAAAGGACGAAGACAGGGCCCAGGGTGCAGCTCAGGTGTTACACGTGTGCGGCTCTGGCTTTACCCCTACCATAAAGACAGGCACAGGGAGCAGGCGTGGTGGCGCACGTCTGTGATCCCAGCACTTGGGAGGCTGAGGCAGGAAGATCCTGAGTTCAGAGCTCGCTGGCTGTGAAGCTCAAGTCTGTTTGGGGTCACACCTGCCCTCCTTCCCTGTCCCTCTGACCATGAGTTGGGTTCTGTCATTCTCTCACCTCAAGAGGCCTCTCAAGGAGTATTGGGACAACCCAGGGCTAGATGAAGGGGAGCAGTTCCTGCGGGATTATATCCTCAACAAGCGCTACGAGGAGGAGGAGGATGACGATGAGGAGGAGGAAGGGTGAGCATTTTTCCTCCCTGTGGCCATACTTCACGTCCCCTCCCACGGGGCCAGCCAGGAGCCCAGGGCACCTGGTGCGTGATTTTTTTTCTTCTTGGGAGGGCTCGAGTGCATCGGTCCTGGCTGCAGTCATGAACCCAGGCTAAAGCCCTGTGCCTTGGCTTCCCTCCATAAAATGAGCAACAGCTCTCTTGTAGGCTTGTCGTGGTGATTCAGTGAGTCCGCCGTGGGTTCAGGGAAACACGCCTGTAATCTTAGTACTCTGGGCGGCTGAGGCAGATCACAAGTGTGACCCCCAACCTGGGCAACTCTGTAACATCCCGTCTCAAACATAAAAAATAAAAAATTTAAAAGGATGCTTGGACCAGGCAACCAGGCACGGTGGTACACACACACACGCTTGCCATCCTAGCCCTCAGGAGGCCGAGGCAGGAGGATTGCAGTGAGTTCCAGGTCAGCATGAGCCACATAGCGAGATCCGAGATCCTGTCTCACCAAGTTGAGGGGTGGGGGTAGGATGTAGCTCACTGCAAAGGCCCTGCGTTTCATCCCCAGTATTACCTCCAAAAAAAGAGAAATCCATACTCCCAGTACCCAGGTATGCAGGGACAGGTAGCCTGACCTTTCCACCCCAGCACCCCCATCTTGGTCCCCAGGATCCCCGGCTCCCCAGTCCAGCTGGCCGTGGACGACTCCTCGGACGAGGGTGAGCTGTTCTTGAAGAAGCAGGAGGACTTCGAGCACAAGTACAACTTCCGCTTTGAGGAGCCGGACGCAGCCTCGGTGTGCGGCCTCGGTGGGGGCAGGAGGACACCGGCCCCAAGGCCCAGTCCCGCAGAGCCCAGGGTCACTCGCTGCCCCCTGGCTCCCCCAGGTCAGGACCTACCCGCGCAGCATCGCATCCTCTGTGCGCCGCAGGGACGAACGCAGAAAGGAGAAGAGGGGAGAGACCAGGGAGCGGAAGAAGAGGGTACGTTTTGGGGGCCCTGCTGGGGAGGGTCCCTGCCCGCCGGGAAGGCTCAGGGCCTCCCTCCCTCCCTCCCCGCAGGAGAAGGCCAGGAAGCAGGAGGAGCTGAAGCAGTTAAAGAACCTGAAGAGGAAGGAGATTCTGGCCAAGCTGGAGAAGCTGAGACGAGTCACTGGCAACGAGACGCTGGGCCTGGGGGAGCAGGACCTCGAGGGCGACTTCGACCCCACCCAGCATGAGCAGCTGATGCAGGTGCGGCCCCCGGGGGATACCAGGTCCTCGGGAGCCCTGGTCACTCTCGCTGTGTTGCCTGAGGAAAGTGACTCAACCTCTCTGAGCCCCTTGGCCTGCCTCCAGTGTAACGTGGGGCTCACAGGAGCAGCTACCCCGAGGCCTGTTGTAAGGACAGATGGGGAGGAAGCCAAAGGGAAACTTAGTTGCTAAGTGCTCCAGAGGGTCACGTCTGTGGGCTCCTTCACCTACAGCAGGGTTCCATCCTGCTACTAGAAAATAGTGTCAGGCAAGGCAGGGTGGGTGGTGCCTACTTTTAATCTCAGCACTGGGGAGGCTGACGCAGGACAATCACCCTGAGTTTGAGACCAGCCTGGGTTACATAGTGAGACCCTGTCTTACAAAACCAAACGAAATTTTAAGATGTGCATTTGAGCTGAGCGTGGTGTCACACTCCTGTTATCCCAGCACTCGGGAGGCTGAGGCAGGAGGACGGCCATGAGTCTGAACTACACAGGAAGACCCTGTCTAAAAAAAAACAACAAAAAAGGGGCTGGGGATTTAGTTCAGCAGCACAGCACTTGCCTGGCAAGTGCAAGGTCCCGAGTTTGATCTCTCAGTTCTTTTTTTTTTTTTTTGTACCGGGGATTGAACTCGGGTCCCTGCGCTAGCAAGGCAGGCCACTGATCTCCCAGTTCTAAAAACAAAAAAAAATCCAAAATGTGCATGTGAGTGCTGGGGGCACAGTTCAGCAGCAGAGCACTTACTTCACCTGCATAAGGTCCTGGGAGGGCACTGGGGAGCTATGCAAGGTTCAGGAGTGAGACTCACAGGGGCGGGGAGGTCTGGGGGCTGATCTCTGACCCCAGCCCCACCTGTAGAAATGCTTGGGTGATGACTTCTACGGCGCTGAGGAGGAGGAGAAGCCTCAGTTCGAAGAGGAGGACGGGTTTGAAGGTGACGTCCGGGGCGCAGGAGGCGGGTGGGGGGTGGTGCCAGGGTCCCGCCCTGACCCTGCCTGTCGGTCCCCTCTGGAAGCAGAGGACTGGAACTGGGACACGTGGGGCGGGCCGGAGCAGGACGGCCTGTGGAGCCAGCAGGAGCCGCACTGCGAGGACCCCGACTTCAATGTAGGTGCCGTGGCTGGGCGCGGGGAGCCCGGTGCAGCCCCGCAGGCTGACCCGACGTGGTGTCCCACAGATGGACGCAGACTATGACCCCAGCCGGCCGCAGAAGAAGCGGCTCGAGGCCCCCTCCACGGGGAGGAAGAAGCACAAGTCACCCTTCGCCGCGGCCGTGGGCCAGCGGAAGCCCGTGTTCGACCCTGGTGAGGCGCGGGGCCGAGGGTTCGGGGCCCTGTGGGATCCGGGGAGCCCGGCAGCCTGACTCTGCCTACCGTGCAGCGGACAAGACCTTCGGGGAGTACCTGGATGAGTACTACGGGCTGGACTACGAGGACATCATCGACGACCTGCCCTGTCGCTTCAAGTACCGCAGGGTGGTACCCTGTGACTTTGGGCTCAGCACTGAGGAGGTCAGGCCCCCCGGCGAGCTGGGGACACTGGGTGGGGAGTGTGCGGGAGGGAGCTGCTGGCCCTGGCCCCAGAGGTGCCACAGCTGATAGTGATCTACACCTGTAATCCTAGCACTGGGGAGGCTGAGGCAGGAGGATTGTGAGCTGAAAGCTAGCTTGGGCTACATAATGAGACCCAGTTTCAAAATAACAAAAAACAAAACAAAACAAAAAAATAGTAGGGCTGGGTATAGCTCAGTGACAGAGTACTCACTGCACATACACACGCCCTGGGTTCCATGTGTCCATAAATATTACTTTGGGTTTTTTGTTGATTTTGAGATACACCCTCCTTTGTCACCTCCCAAGTAGCTGGGACTTTGATTTTTTTTTTTTTTTTTTTTTTTTTTTTTTTTGAGTTTTTATTTTAAGTCAATTTGTTGGTGTTTTTTTTTTTTTTTTTTTTTTTTTTTTTTTGGTTCCGAAGATTGAACTCAGGACCTTGAACTTGGGAGACAGGCACGGTGCCACCGAGCTAAATCCCTGGCCGAATTTTTTTTTATGACAGGCTTTCTTAAGCTGGTCTTAAACTTACTATATAACCCATTCTGGTCCCAAACTCCCAGGTATCCTCCTGCCTCAACCTCCTTAGTGCTGGGATTATAGGTGTGTACCACTACACTAACCTTTAAGTATTCTTTTGTTTTGTTTTTGCACATCTTCGACCACCGAGACACAACTCCAGTCACCCCCTAAATATTACCTTTAATTCTGTTACTATCAGCAGCAGGGCTGGGCATGAAGAATTACTGGGAGCTGGATGTTGCAGCACACGCCTGTCATTCTAGCTCTCAAGAGGCTGAGGCAGGAGGATTACTGTGAGTTTAGGGTCAGCCTGGACTACACAGTGAGACCCAGTGTCAAAAACACAAAACTAGGGCCTGAATTGAGCTCAGTGGTTCCACCACCTGCCTGGCAAGCGCAAGGACATGTGTTTGATCCCTGGTACCAAAAAAAAAAACACCCAGAAAACTAAGCAAACGAAAAGAAACAAGATCTCTACTCTGTCCTGAGGCTCTGAGGACAGTGGTGGCTGGCTGTTGAGGACCAAGGGACCTCAGGCTGGACCTGGTGTCAGATCAGCCAGCTTCCCAGCCCAGCTAGGGAACTAAGGTCACCGTTTCAGCTTGTTTGCACCTCCGATGCTCCCACCATCGTGGCCCCTGGGTGGTGCTAGCATGGCTCTGTTGACCCTTGAGGGGACGCAGCCTTCGAGACCCCCCGTCCCTGCAGATCCTCTTGGCCGACGACAAGGAGCTGAACCGCTGGTGTTCCCTGAAGAAGACCTGCATGTACAGGTGACGACAGGCGGACGGATGCCAGGGAGCAGGTGGAGGTGGAGGGCAGAGCGGCTGGTGACAGGTGGGTCCCCACACCTGCAGGTCGGAGCAGGAGGAGCTGCAGGACAAGCGTGCCTACACCCAGAAGGCCCAGAACTCCCAGAAGAAGCAACAGATCTTTAAGTCGCTCTGCCCAGAGGAGTAAGCACTGCTGGCCGGGGAGGGGTGGGTCACCCAAGTCTCTCACTCCATCAGCTCCTCAGAATGGGGCTTCCCCCTTCAAGACGGGGGCTCCATTCCTAGCTGGGCCTCAGCGGTGTGACCCACCGCTAAGTCACTGACCCTCTGTGGGCCGGTATCACGTTGATAAAATGGAGGTACGTAAATTTATGGTACACGTCTCAGGTATTGAAGACGAGTCAATTCGTGTGAGTGCTTAAATATAGGGACACCAGGCATGTTGGCCAACGCCCATGCCCTTTGTACTGGGGAGACTGAGGCGGGAAGATCACGAGTTCAAGTCCAGCCTGGGTTCCCTAGTAGTTCAAGGCCAGCCTGAAGTGCACAGCAAGGCCTTGTCTAAATAAACCCATGAAAAACACAGGGTATTTTGGTATGGTGGGGCTCACTGATAGAATGCATGTTTAGTGAGAGCAAAGCCCTGGGTTCGTACTGCACCAGGGCCGAGGGTGTAGCTCAGTGGCAACAGCACCTGCCTGGGAAGTACAAGGTCCTGAGTTCAATCCCTCGTACTGGGGGGGAAAAAAAAGGGGGTCCAGGGATTTAGCTCAGTGGTTCCGGTGCCTGTCTCACAAGCACAGGGGCCTGAATTCAATCCCCGGTACCAAAAAAAAAAAAAAAAAAAAAAAAAGTCAGCCCAGCCTTACTTAGGTCTGAAGGGAAAACTTGGCTTCGACTTCAGGCCTTGGGCAGCACCCAGGCAGGCTGTGCTCCGCGCTTTCCTCCTTGGAAGGTGGGAGTGTGTACTCCGCAAGAGCAGCCTGCCTGAGTGCCGCCTCTTCACCCCCAGCATGGAGACAGGCACAGGAGCCCCCGGGAAAGCGCAGAGACGCACAACCGGCCCACAGGAGCAGCTGCTGGCGCCTGAGGGAGGCAACTGGAAGCGGCCCCAGCCGGAAAGCCCCCCGGCACAGGAAGAGGAGGCCCCTGTGTCGCCCCACAAGACTCCAGCGCCCCAGAAGCGGTGGAGAAGCACGAAGGCGCGTTTGCTGGGCCCCACAGTGACACTCAGTGGCCACGAGTTCAGCCGCCAGAGACTGCAGGCCTTTGGCCTCAACCCCAAGCGGCTCCATTTCCGCCAGCTGGGCCGGCAGCGGAGAAGACACCAGGGACGCAAGGGCTGTCCCTGAGCACGGGACAGCGGGCACGTCCTGCCGCCCTGTGTGCCACGGCTCTGAGGCCCGCCTGGCTGACACCCCTCAACTCCCCCTGGAATGCTGGCCGCTGCCACAGTGGAGTCCAACAGCTTTATTACCCCAGCAGCCACGTCCCCCCAGGGACGGCAGGGCACGGCAGGTCCGGTGCAAACTACAGTACTGAGTCAGGCCCTGAGTGGGTGCCCGGGTATCTTCCCTGCCCCCTGCCCTTTGAGGGGACCCAGAGGGCACAGCTGGCCAATAGCAAGTGGTGGGATTCCTAGACTGGTCTCAGCAGGGCAGGGGAGAGGCCAAGGAAGAGAGACCCTGCCCTCCTGTCATCTCCTGAGTTCTAGCCCCCCCCCATGGCATAAATAAAAAAATAAATAGTCTCGCATCTTCCCCATCCCCTCCATTATAAAAACACAAAGTCCTCGGAGCTCGGCCATTTGGCCTTGAGGAGGTGCCCGGTGCGAGGAAGCCGCAGTGTGGTTGCCTGGGAGAGCTGGGAGCACAGGTCATCCAGGCTGTGGTCCTGAGCGTGGCCCTCCGCCAGGGTGAACATGGGGTAGCGCTCTGTGGCTGAGGAGGAGCTGAGGATCTGGCGGGGAGGAGAGAGCTCAGATGGACGCGCGAACACTCCAAGAACTCAGCACCCAACCCTAGGACGAGCCGGCGAGCCAATCAGTATGCTCCCTCACAGCGATTGGCTCCTCCGTGAGCATGTGATCCAGCCCTGCCAACCAATGGCACCCCTGAGATTTTTGCCTATAGCTGTCCCTAAAGTGTACTTCCTGTGCCAGTGAAGCGGGAGAAGGGGGCTGGTGGTGCTGGTGCCCAACTCTCCCAGCACCGCTGGCGCACAGGGAGGGCCGGGGCCGTATGAACCTCTGCGTACAGCTGTCCCCAGGGCAACAGGGCTCCAAGCCTTTCAGTGACATCCTGTTTAGCCCATCAGTTACCAAATAGGGCTTTTCTGCTCTGTAGAGACAATTGGTGACCTCGACCGATTGTTTCCCTTGGCATAGCTTCAGATTCTCAGAGGTAGAAACTCCTTTTGGGGCCGGGGGTTGAACCCAGGGCCTTCACAATGAGCTACATCCCCAGCCCTATGTCACTAAATGGCCCAGGCTGGGCGTGAGCTTGTGACCCTCCCGCCTCAGTCTCCCAGTGTTGCGATCACAGGTCTGCACTGCCGTGTTGGGCTAGAACTAAGATGTTCTCACCCTTCTTGGTGCTGGGGACTAAACCTAGAGCCTTGCACATGCCAAGCAGCAGATACTCCGAAAACTCCAGCCCACCACACCCCGGCTGAGGCCTGTGCCTCCCATCTCTTACCCTGGTCAGCTCAGAGCAGAGCGTCTCAAACTCCTTCCTGTTTCCTGCGTAGAAGCCCACAGTGCAGCTCGGGTCCATCTTGGTGAAGGCCATCTTGCGGGGTGAGGTACAGTGGAAAGACTGGGCCGACAGAGAAGGGAGCTGCAGGGGGCGCCGACGCTCTCCCTGTGCCCCCAGCCCTGGCCTGGCAACACCACGGTACCTCCAGGGGGAAGTCAGCCTGGCCGACGTCCACGGTGGGCTGGCAGTAGTGCGGGTCCAGGTAGAGCAGGAAGTCATCTACGGGGAGCAGCTGTGAGCGGGGGTGGGGACAGAGAGGGTAGGGAGGCAGCAGAGTGGGGCAGGGCCTACCCTGGTAGCCAATGAAGTAGAGTGAGTGCCTCGGTTTGCCCCCCATGATGCCCAGGCACAGTTCTGACCTCAGGAGCTCCTGCAGGGAAGGGAGAGGAGAAACTGAGTCAGGTGGTACCAAACAGTCCCTCAACACTTTTGTTTGAGACAGGGTCCAGCTCTGCAGTTCAGGCTGGCCTCGAGCACGCTATGTAGCCCAGGCTGTCCTCGAACTCCTAATGATCCCCCTTCCTCAGCTTCTCAAGTACTGGGATTACAATCACCAGTCACCACGCCAGTCAGATTTTACTTAATTTTTCTTTACTGTAGTGCTGGGGATGGAACTCAGGGGCTTGCACATACTTGGCAAGTGTTCACCATTGAGCTACACCACAGCCCTGGATTTCGAAATTTGCAACAGAAGTCATGATAGGCCTCACTGAGAGGTCATGAGTGTTTCATCAGAGACTGGATGGGGAATGCTGGAGCCAAGTGCATCTCTGGGGAAAGAGTAAGTGCAAATGCCCTGAGGCAGGAGGCTTTGAAAAGAAGGACTCCTGAGGTAGGAGCAGGGCAAGGAAGGATGGAGCAAAGATCTATAGGGGGCAACAAGGTCAAGGAAGTGAAGGAAATGTTCAGCATCTGGAGGCCTACCAAAGACCGGCTTCATCCCGAGTACAAACCCAGCAGGGGTTTCCCAGCCTCTGGACCTCAGCCTCCTTCCACCTGGACCACTTCTGTTCCTGCCCCAGTGGGGCTTTCATGGGTCCTTTCCAGGGTGGGTTCCTACCCTTCAGAGACCAGTTTCTAATGCCAATTCGTGCCTGTGGTTTTCTGAGCCCTGCCTCAGGCTGGACTCGAAGTCAAAATCCTCTGCTTCAGCCTCCTGGTGCTGGGATTACACAGGTGCCAATTTTTAAATAAAAATAAAAAATCTGGTGTCGGGAACTGAACTCAGGAAATTCTGAGCACATCAGTGTACCAAAAGCTCCCTCCCCAACCTTTAGCGTCAATTTGATTAGCAATCATTTATTTCCCAGACTGGAACATCCACTTCCAGAGACCCAGAATTTCAGGCTGAGATGGGCATGGCAGCGCACCCCTGTAATCGCAGCATTCTGGGAGGGGAGGCAGGAAGATTAAGTCCCAGCTCCAAATAAAAAATAAAAATGCCAGCCGGGCATGGTGGTGCATGCCTGTAATCCCAGCACTCGGGAGGCTGAGGCAGGAGGATCGCTGTGAGTTTGAGACCAGCCTGAGCTACATACTGAGTTCCAGGTCAGTCTCAACTACATAGTGAGACCCTGTCTCAAAAAAACAAACAAAAAGAAACAAACAAATAAAGAAATAAAATAAAATGGCTGGAGAGGTAGCTCATTCTACCCTCAGTATAGAAAACTAATAGGGCCGGGGATTTAGCTGTAGTACTTCACCTGCCCCGAAAATACAAGGTCCTAAATTCGATCCCCGGTACCAAAAAAAAAAAGTACAATAATAATAGTAGTGTCAAAAGGATGAAGGAGACAGAAGCTGTGACCCTGACCTAAGCTGAAAACTCCGAGTCTCCCAGGCAGAGGCGCCTGCCACCTGTACACCTACCTTCACGCCAGGCACGTACACGGGGTTCAGGGTCTCCCCGCCCAGGCGCACAGGCACCAGGATGACCACAGACTTCCACTCAGCCTCGGGGTCCGGGCTAGCCAACAGGCGCGCCACGTCCGCCTTGTACACTGCAGGGACGGGGCGGTGACAGGTAGCCTCAGCGTTGGGGACAAGGCCACTGGATTCCCCTCGGGACTTGGAAGGGACAGGAAGAGGTAGGGACAGGGCACCTCCCACAACGCCAGCCTAAGAACCAAGTGTCCCAGGAGGCGGGCCCTCAGGGGCAGCGGAGGCAGTGATTGGCTGAGCGTAAAGCCCTCACCCCGCCCAGCGCGCACCTGTGCAGTCCTGAGAAACATACACGGCCAGGTGGGTGAGCTCAGAGCTGCTCTCCACTGCCTTCCTGGGGACACAAGGGCGGGGCGGGCGGGCTGAGCTCCCAGGGGCGCCCGACGGCTCCCCTACGCCC